ACTATGACTTGCAATGACATTTAGATGATTTATTCAAATCGTTGTTTTATTTTTCAGTTCTTATTTTTTCATTTCTTTAGAAAGTTGCGGTTTCAAAGTAGCTTTCAAATTATAATATAATTCTGTCTTAACATTAATTAGAAAGTTGCTTAATTTATTAATCAATTCGAACGCCTTTTTAGTCATACGCTTAAATAATAATAAAAAATTGATTATGAATATATGTATTAAAATTGTATATTTTTCTGTATATGGAGTATAGTTGATTATACATTTATATAATATTGCTGAGTTTTGTACAAATGAAATTTTAATTCATTTTGCATTCTGCACGTAAAATGTGTTGTGGAACGATGAACTAAATCTGATTATAATATTTCTCTCGTTATATTGTATGCAAAACACGCATAATAAGATGTTGGTTGAACATAATATAAAAGGTTATTTTACTTCTGAGATGGTTTTAAAAAATAAAAATTAAACAAAAAAAAACAATATCGTATTTTTTTGACAATTTTTTTTTGACAATTGGTTAAAACAACTATTTTTTGTTTGAAAAACTTAGAAGAAATTACTAGGTATTGTATAAAATTCACCAATTTCAATATAAAATGTTCTAAAAATAAACAGATTACATTTGTATTCAAATTATATTCGGTTACCGTTTTTCCTTCTTCAAATACATAAAATATTAGGATCGACGAGGTGCATAATATGGAATTAGAATAAAATAAAACATAGCGGCATTTACGTAGCATTTACGTAGGCAAAACTGTCGTCAAAAAAATATTGGATTGAGCCAAAATAAATTTATATCCAATGACAAATCGTTTCCTAACGAATTTTAATAAATTTTGATCGTAATCATCAAATTTGTAATGAGATTCTTTAAGTTACCGAGCCAATATGAATCCACAAGCCGATATTCCTTTTCAGGACATCTTTGATTGATAAAAGAATTGACTAATTGTTATTCAAGGTTCCGAATTTAAAAATTTACTAATTAAGATACCTTCTATTGGAAGTGCAGTGACCTTTTAGCACCGTAAGTGCTCTAAAGAAGTTTTATAGATCGAACGCCTCCTTTGGTCCTTCACATTTCAATAAGTAGAGATTAGGTTTTATTTGCGAAAACGAACTTAATCCAATCTGGTATTATGCTGTAACTGGAGTCCACAAATACAACACCGTCAGACAAAACATTGAATACTAAGATAGAAACAACAATAAAAAAATGCACGACTACTTTAAAACCGTAATTTTAGAACATGAAATAGGACTGAATATGGAGCGATGCAACAGAGTTCGAATCCCGCAGCGGGTACCAATTTTTCTAATGAAATACGTACTTTACAATATATGTTCACGATTGACTGCCACGGTGAAGAAATAACATCGTGTAATAAAAAATGAAACCCGCAAAATTACAATTTGCGTTGGTAATTACTGGTAGTAGGACGGACCTCTTGTGAGTCCGCACTACCTACTGCCTATTTCTGCCGTGAAGCAGTAATGCGTTTCGGTTTAAAGGGTGGGGTAGCGGTTGTAATCATACTGAGACCTCAGAATTTATATCTCAAGGTAGGTGGCGCATTTACGTTGTAGATGTCTATGGGCTCCAGTAACCACTGAACACCAGGTGAGTCGTGAACCACTGAACACCAGCACCAGGTCTGTGAGCTCGTCCACCCATCTAAGCAATAAAAAAAAGATTATAGTAAGGTGGTAGGAGTGGCTCGATGAATCATGTGCGACCTTGTACGAGTATTTGATTCATTGCCTGAGAGACTAGTAATTAAGACATAAAGTGTCAATAACGACTTATTTTTTCAAGCTATAGCAACGGCGTAGCAATACAATATTAGAACTCTAATAAAACATCTCTGATATACATGCCAATTGAAGGTGCAAATAATATTAAAATTGAATTAATAGATCCATGTAAAGTAAGCAGCCGTGGTGATGTTCCGCAAAAAATTATTATAAAATGTTGAACGAAATCAAAACTGTGAAGAGAAAACAAATAAAAAGCAAAAAAGGGAGGATAGGATTTTTTCAAAACCGCTCGAATTTTGCGACCCAATACAAAAATAAATATCATTTAACCTTTACTGTCGTACTCAATCAATCAATTCAAACCTATTAGTTTTTATTGCCTTACTATATTATATGTCTAATTCATCGAAATGTTTATTAATTTATGAATTCCTGCAAAAAAATAATACACTTCCGTGGTAGGGGTTTTGGTCTGTTACTCCTCATTTCTAAGCGACGTACATGATCATTACGCATTATTAGAGTTGATACGATGCCCTTAGCGAGAACAGAGCTGCGGTTTTTTTTAATTTACGCCACTGTGAGAAACTTCAACCTCTTAACTAGAGTCACCACAACTAAATAGGGTTAATATGGCTGGGGAAATACATATATTTACGCTTAATATTCCTTTGCCTTTGAATATTTCTTACCACTGAGTAATTTATGTTTTAATTAGTAGTCCAACAATCATTCCATCGAAAATAAAGCCTAATTTTACGTCCCTCTCGATTGTCGAGCCAATACATCCAAAATTGAGCACTAAACAAATTGAAAAAAATAATTCTTCTAATAAACAAGTCTGAAGTTTCAATACCAATTGAAACCCGTTATTATATTTTATTATACCTACTAATGAATTGAATTATGATTGTTTTATTGTGAGATCTAAACTTAATGAAATACGTGGCCTTGTCTGGGGCTTTACGTTTTATTGACTTGTAAAGCTTTATATTTTAGTAGCACGCTGCTATAGAGTGAGGCAGAACAAACGAGTCAAGAGAGGCGACTAGACTGTTTGGTTAGATACGTGAATGTAGTAAGCATTTGCACAAAAAAATAATTAAACAAGTTCGACCACTGAATAGAAATTTATTATATTTATCTTATTATACAAATATTACGGTTCTTTTTAGAGTCCGGATTTTACTGTTGCTCTTTGTTTGAACCTATAAAAGTTTGTCTCTTTCAAGGCACCTTATATTGACACTGATTTGCGAAAGTGGATACTTCAAGATAATAGAACCATAATGGGTTCATTAATATGCACCGTAAATAAACCGTTATTCTAAACGAACGCTGGAATCTAATTAAAATATGAATCATAAAAAATCATATCGAGATTAATAGCAGCAATTTTGTATGCGTATCGGCTGCGTAAAAACTAAGGAAGCAACCTTTAAGTTGTAGTTCTGGGTAGCCGTTCACGCTTGGCTGCTGACCATCGTACCATATCTCACCTATCGTATACCCGAAGGCTAAAAAGAACCTTAAGGTTGAGTGCTACGATCTATATTCCCGAGTCTCTAATTTTGAAGTAATATGACTTATTATAATTGTTCTGTAAGTGAATGAACTATGGGCAGTGGGCATATCGAGCACGGATTTATTATTAGTGTAATTATTCAGGTAAACTGTATTATTACTTTCTTCACTAATCGAATGTACTCAACTAATAGAATATTTTATTTTTGTAGTTTCTTCAGGGCTGTTGTTGTTGTTTTGAGGTTTATTTCATTAACTACATATTTTAATTTCTTTTTCAATATTACCTTATATATGATTTTCGGTATTGAAATTTCTCGTCAGGGATAGTTTTAAATTTGAATATTCTAAATCTGGGAACGAATTAAGATGTCCTTTGTTATGGGTACCAGAGACGGACATACATACATATATACTTTAAAATAAATAAATAAATATTTACTAACAATCACGCCACGTTAACTGGTCCCGTGATAAGTTCGTAAAGAACTTATGTTACAGGTACCAGATAACGGAAATAAATGTAAGGTTTTTATTATACACTTACATAAATTTAACGGATGTATAACCCTGGAAAAGACATTTCATATTTATCATACAAATACCTTCCCTTGGCGGGATTCGAACCCGCGGCCCCCGTGTGTAGTGACCATGTCGGTTACCACTTCACAAGACGGCCGTTAAATATACACAAATAAAGAGTAAACAAACCTGTTCATCATACGAATGTTTAGCCGATGTGGGAATCGAACCCACGACCCTCGGCCTAGCAGTTAGGGGTGCTAACTATTGGAACACCGAGTCAGTTAGGTAGTTATTGTATGACCCTGTAATTTGCACTCGTTTAGCATCACAAAGAAATCGATAAATGTGCTTGATGCTATGCCATAAATTAAATATGCTAAGCTGATTTCGATTCGATATATCGCATCTTTAGAATTGAAGTGGCCTAACTAATAATTTTAAGAAAATGTGTTTTGTACTTCGAACTGCTTATGAACATGTATTCTATCAGCTTATAAAATTAAGCAGTCTCTTTTAGTCCAGAAAGGAAAAACTTACTTTTTTTAATCTATTTTAAATAATCGCGTGCATTCCTTAAGCCTTGTTCAGACTAGGCGAGTATTTAAGTCGAGTATCGAGTAATTTAGTAGCTAAATGTGTCTGAGCACCAAAAATTTAGTCGAGTAGGTTAGTAAATAATTTAGTCAAGTCAATCCATTTTGTTCTATTTTTTCGGGCGAGTAGCAAGTAGTTTAGCCACTAAATTACTCGGTACTCGACTAAAATACTCGCCCAGTCCGAACAAGGCCTTAAAGTATGTATACTTTTAAATCAAAAAACAAAAAAAAAAAGATTGCAATTGCTCAATTACATTTTTGGCGGCTACCAAAAAACCAGAAATGTTGGATTAAGCCACTTAAATCCTAAAGGTGCGAATTATGATATGATATTCGTTTATTGTAATTACAAACGGTCGCGTTCAGTGCGTAACAAACTTACGGATTGTTGTTATATTTTGTCCTTGATTGTAATTATACTGTGATCAACAGAGTTTTATTCCGATTTTGCACGTTTAAATCTCATTGTGGCCCGTTGTTATTTTCCAACGAATATCTATGATTTCTATCAATCAAATTAGTTTTTTTTTTAAATATTAATGCCAATTTTTATTGTCTATGATAATATTTTTTTTCTAGATTTCTGCAAAACACCGATCAACTGGACTATGAAGACTTGAGGTATGTCAAATTTTCTTAATTTGAAAGCATTTAAAAAAAATCCAATGACAAAAATAATTTCATGAATATTAAATTTTCAAAGTTGCGTCTAACAAAAATAATTAATAAACAAAACATTAAATCGATAACAAAAATACCTACTGAACTGAACTGAAATAAAGTCGGCTCTAACATACACGATGAACAATAAAAAAATTGGAATTTGAATACTTTTACTAAGTTATATAGTTTGATTTGCGGGATAGTTTGTCGGAGTGACATATCTATGATTTTATCTAACGATGTTAAAGATTTATTATATACATTTATTTTTCCGCGTATAGTGCTGTATTTATAAGCTATATGTTGTGTAAGTATTGTGGTTGTGGTACACACCGTGGCATAGTTCACAAAGCATTGACACTCGCTCGGGAGGTCAGGAATATCTACATACAATCTGACAGGATCCATTAGTGAAGTAATCGCTGGTTCTTTGTTCAACTATACAAATGATAGGTTGGGAAAAGCAAAAGTTTAGATTAGATATGCTTGAATATTAATTTACAACTCAGCCCGAACGTCATTTGAAATCCAAATCGATTTTTAAACAATTCATTGTTTTGTTTACTTTAAGCTGAACTTTTTTGATGATTTTTTTTAATGCTTAGATGGGTGGACGAGCTCGCAGCCCACCTGGTGTTAAGTGGTTACTGGAGCCCATAGACATCTACAACGTAAATGCGCTACTCACCTTGAGATATAAGTTCTAAGGTCTCAGTATAGTTACAACGGCTGCCCCACCCTTCAAACCGAAACGCATTACTGCTTCACGGCAGAAATAGGCAGGGTGGTGGTACCTACCCGCGCGGACTCACGAGAGGTCCTACCACCAGTTAAATTTTCATTTGAATGGTTAGTGGCTACGTAGGGTGGGGACCCTTCAAACGGAAATGCATTACTGCTTCACGGCAAACAAAAGGCAGTACCTACGCGGACTCACAAGAGGTCCTAGCACCAGTAATTACAAAAATTATAATTTTACGGGTTTGATTTTTATTACACGATGTTATTCTTTCACCGTGGAAGTAAATCTTGAACATTTTGTTAAGTACGTATTTCATTCGAATAATTGGTACCTGCCTGCGGGATTCGAACACCGTTGCATCGCTAGATACGGACGCACCGGACGTCTTATCCTTTAGGCCACGACGACTTCAAAATATGACCTCATGATATTTTGGTTGTTTTTTTTACAAGCAGCTAAACAATTTCTTGGCCGTTCTAATAATACTCGGATAGACTGTGTGACAGAGGATATGCGAGAGAAAGACATGACTATACTCACTATATATTACGTATGATACGCCTGAATGGAAAAAGAACAGGCTGCGCCGACCCCATACAGTGGGATAAGGGCAAAAAGAAGAAAACGCATATAGAAATTTAATAAAACTAGAGGTCCCGCAGTAGTCGAAATTCGACTATAATTAATTGGAATTATAAGTTTGTACACTATTAGGATTATATTTTATACTTCTATAATCACAAATTTCGCCAAGACTTTTTTTTTTTTAAATTTCGCCTATAAAAAATATTAACAAAGACAAACAATATTTAATCTCAATTTGACAACAGACGTCAAGAACAAAAGTTTGACAACAAATAGTATGCATGCTTGTGTGCGTCAAATACATGGTATGTAGTGTGTGTAATGTTTTCTTTATTGATTTAATGTATCTTTTATGTATTATTTTGAAAAAAATATTAGCATTGTGCACTTCTTCTCTATATTCTCTATAAGTGTGGAAAATTTCATACTCGTCCGTCCGCGCAATTTTCGTAAAAAGGGATACAAAGTTTTTGCTTCACGCATTAAAGACAACGTACAAGAAAACGTTTTAATACTACAATATTCGTCCATTGATCTTAGTTATTTAACCAGAATTAAATTACCTGATTGCCAATAATAACTCAGCCCTTTCCATTTAGACCAGTCTGGGTTCCTATAATTAGCCACCGGATAATTCTAACGTATCCTTGTGGTGATATTTTCGTATTCGCAATGGAAATACAAAATTACAGCAAATTACAGACTAAGTCGCTCAAATGACTACGTGGGTACTTGATATTATTGTCGGCGCATATTTAATTGTTCTGTAATTTGTAAATTGGAATAAAATGCGTTGTGTCTTTGTTGCTTTATATGAGAAAAAATGCTGACATATTTTAGAGATGTGTGACAGGGAAAAAAAAAAAAAAAGGCAAGGTGTCAGGCCGTGTGGCGGTTTTCTGTTAAGATGACTGAATGACCAGATTATGGTCTGCACACAAACACACTGACGAGGAACTGGGTTATAAAACCGGTCACTGAATACATGACGGCCACGACCACTCCGTCGAGAATGTAGCTAAGAAGTGTATGAGAATATCAGCTTACGATCATTATGATATTTTGTGAATATATCATATTACCGTCAAGAAAGCTTGTCATGATGATTATAGTCACTTTGACGCATGAGATTGGCCTCGCACTGGAAGTTTTCTGCTTGTATATGCCGCAAAACCGTAATGCGTTCCGGATTGAAGGGTAGGTAGGATAGCTGTTACACAATACAACGTAGGTATACTTTGGTCTCGTGTCTCAAAGGCGATATTCGCCCTGTAATACTTAAGCGTTCCGGTAATGACTTACACGAAGAGAACTGTCAGCCCGTGCCACCATTTACGCAGTAAATAAATGAACACTAAAAAATACACACACTTTTTTACTGGTGGTAGGACCTCTTGTGGGTCCGCGCGGGTAGGTACCACCGCCCCGCCTTTCTGCCGTGAAGCAGTAATGCGTTTCGGTCTGAAGGGTAGGGCAGCCGTTGTAACTATACTGAGATCTTAGAACTTATATCTCATGGTGGGTGGCGCATTTACGTTGTAGATGTCTATGGGCTCCAGTAATCACTTAACACCAGGTGGACTGCGAGCTCATCTACCCGTTTAAGCAATAAAAAAAATAAAAATAAAACACAACACTAAATATATATAAAAAATCCTCTGTTTACACAAAGCGCCTCATTGTGAAATAGGCAAGACGATGGGGCTACAGTAGGCTCACAGGTCCACCAGAAGAAACAAAATGTCACAATAAAAATAAAGAAATTTATAAAGAATACAGAATAAGACGCATCCGACCTCGATTTCATGAAACAATCGTATCATCAATATAATGATTGAATGAACCGATCTTATCTCACGTTCCAGCTTCGCGATATATAAATAAAATGTAATGATGTAGATCAAACTAATGAGAGATATGTAAATAGTGTCGACTTACGAAAAAGTATTGCTCACTTCATTAAAAACATTTAATATATTCCGTTATGTTGTTAAGCCGTAGAAATAGCTGTTAATTATTTTTTTATTTAAATTTTTTGTGCTTCCTGCGCATCTTTCGTTGATATTGAATAGTTGTTTGTAGAGCTTCTTCACTTCTTTCGGTGCCTTTTGGTTTGTATAAATAAATACGATTAATTACGATTAAACAAGTTTAATAAATGCGACAGCGTGTTTGATAGTCCGTAATTTTACGTACAAACGAATCTACATTTCTACTAGTAGTTTATAGAGCAGTGATTTACGCAAACAAATTTTTATTTCGAGAAAATGCAACGTAATTTTGATAATGAATTCCAAATTTAAGGGCCAAGCTACTGTGTATGTCTAGTATACGAACTACCAAAAATTAAATGAAACAAAAAAACTTTTTAAATATAGAAGATTAAGAAGTGTATCTATCGTATTGGCGAATTTAAATTATTTCGTAAACCTATAAAGCGAATACATTGAAAACCAAACAGATAATGTTTGAGCCAATTTTTTTCCAGAAACGGCTGCTACTACAGTTTAACATTTGATAACTCATTATTATAAAAAATTACCTGTACTTCATAAAATAACGATGTAAAGCCAAATCGGAGCATTTCAAATCGACAACCGTATAGTCGTACATCTTCCATTAACTACATCGACCATTACAAAAGTAATACTGGCATGTCTAACCGCAAATGGCCCGGTATTATCCGCGCATCACACTGCGCACGCGATGGGTGTCATATACAAGTCGCGTGCCATTATTCATTGGATGTACGATTGTTAGGCTGATGCTTTTCTTCGATTCGATTATTATTTTAGTTGCCTTCAACTCGCATGGTTGCATAGCCGCAAAAGTTTTTGAGTTTTAACGAAATTTGTACTCACTAATATGTTACAAATTTTTGTCTACGGATTTTCATGTAGGTAACCTAAATTCATGCAGGTTTTTAGTGATTCGTAAAATATAATAATAACCTCTTTAGTTCACAAAAAGATAATGTTTACATTTTATTGTATAGGTAGAAATAAGGAATTTATAGAAGTTATAATATCACCGGTCGTCATGGCGAACATATTATTATGTATTTTTCATAATATTCTTAAGGCGAACTTAAGCTTGCTTTTGCCCTTATTCGATTGTTTTAAAACCAAAACGCATTTTAAACTACCTTCAGCCTTCTATTGTTTATAAGAATTCAAGAGAATAAATGTATGTATCGTAAGCCAACAATGATTAACGTACAAAAGTTTTGGATCAACAGCCTCACTCAACAATAATAGTTTGCATGTAAAATGTGAGTTATTTATATACACTTTCGATGGATTTTTTTATGGTAATCGTCCAAAGAAACTTGCACTATCACATAACTTTATTTTTAGTTCTTATGCTGCGTGCGTATCCAAAAATAACACCTTGTAGAATGACCATCATGATACGATCACATAATGGCAGATCAATCTAGCATAGCATATAATCTTTGGTACGCGACAGCAAGACGTTAGCGTGTGTGGTTTTCACGTCATCTGCGCAATCGAGAATAATAGTCTTTGGTCTTGTCACTCCTGTCGGGGGCGGGGAAGGAAATGGCTACTAGAGAAGCGCAGTGCCCGCATACTTGCAGCCATTTTAATGCATTTCTTAGCTTAGTAATGAG